CTTAAAGCTTTATGGTAGGGGCTGGGGAGGACTGGTCCAATGATGTCACTCTTTGATGGTCTAAATTACTGAACTCAATCATAAAGTATAAATATGAATGGAAAGCAAGTTTCTATTCTTTTGAACTTTAAGTTGGTTTTAAAAAATGCTGAGTTTCTAGGTCTGATTGAATATGCAAACAGATACTATAGAACATACCTGGCAGATATCTAAATTGTTCTTATTCTGTGTTATTGGTTAAGATCCAATAGATTTTTTAAAAATGATTTTGAAGTAATGGAAAATATCCACTAGCCACTTTTGATAAAACTTTCATTTTTTTCCCCCTACACAAGTCTGCCTTGAAGCCAATAAGGAGAATTAATCTTCCATGCAGGAAGTTGCTTTAGGTCTTCCCTTTCATGCCTAATCTTCCTATGTTTCTATCTAAAGCAAAAAAAGAGACACAGTTTCCCTTAGAAAGAGTTTGAATTTACAGATCTTTCAGGCAAGAATTAGAATTTAGGGAACATGTGTTCTAGTTGCTGCTTCTCCCTTTGGTAGTCTGGGCTTTGTAAGTTTCTGGCTTATTGTTTGTGAGCGATCAGTAGAAGGGAGAGGGAGTTGTTTCCTGGGTTGCAGGTAGCAGGGACAACATCAGGCCCAAGTCCTTGCACAGTGTGTTCCCCAAAAATACTTACTCATGATGCCCACTACTCAGTCAAAATACTTTCCCTCCACCTTTGGCCTGCCAACCATGGTACTTTTCACTTCGATCCTCTATACCTAAACACCTTTTCTTCCCCTTCCCAACCTGTTGACATTTACTTTTATATAGATGTGAACTGGCATGACTCTTCAGGGCATCTTTCCTGACTAGGTCACATCCCTTGTTACATAATTATTTTTTTTGGACATGATTTACTCATAGTTGCTTTTGTTATTAATTCTGTTATCGGGCAGAGTTATTTTTATTGGCATATAAGTGAAATAATGTTATTGACAACAAATGGGTAGTGATCATTGGGTGCTGCTGAGCTGGACCCTGCTTTTCCATTGCAGAGCTATTAAGAGTGGTATGATGGGGAAGGAAGGGTAGGATTTTAATTGTAGAGTTGACTGGTAACAATTAGAGCTCCTGATTTAAACCTAGCACTTGTCTTTAAAAACAAGTTTGTTTATGAGAGAGGGAGGCCTGCAGAGCTTTGGAGGTTTGCTTCAGACATGTTTTTAAAACCATGAGATGCAACCCTTCATTGAGGTGTGAAATTGATGTAATGGGTTTTGACTTACACACCTCAAACTGAAACAGAACAGAAAATGGTAGAGTACATGTCATGCAGTAAGCRTTGTCGTCAGAAATTCTTCAGTTGTATGTTCATGTGTGTTCATGCCTGTACACACTTTGTGTATGTCTACACCTTATTATTTGTTTCTTACAATTGAGCTTCAGTTAAAAAAAATGTYTGAAAAATACTGGGTTGCTAAAGAGTACCAGAAGAGGTAAATCATGTCCAAAAAAAAAATAATTATGTAACAATAGATGTGACCTAGTCAGGAAAGATGCCCTGAAGACATGCCAGTTCACATCTGAATAAAAGTAGATGTTAAGGGGTTGAGAAGGGGAAGAAATGGTGTGTAAGTATGGAGGATCGCAAGTGAAAAGTACCACGTTTGGTAGACTAAAGGTGGCGGGAAAGTGTTTTGACTGAGTAGTGAGCATCATGAGTAAGCATGTTTTGGGAACACAGTGAAGAAACGGACATAACTGCAGAGGCACGTGGACTTTAATAGTAATGAGATATATGTTTGCATTAGTAGAAAGGTGAGGCTAGATTTCAGAGGGCTCTGTAAGTCTGGAAGGGGATTGGAGATTTGATGGTGTAAGTTGTTTGGATTCCTGAGGAGGCTAGGATGGAGGAGGCTTTCAAGGGGTCAATTTGAGCATGAGAGTGAAAATCAGGAGTTAAAGCAGGGAGACTGGGTGGCTGTGTGCTGGGCCATAGTTGTCTGATCATGAAGTGGAGAGCTTATGGATTAGAGACGATAAACTGGCCTGGGATAAGAGGGGAAAGGACATTTTTGATGATCATATTTATAATTGATACTACATATAAAGGAAAATATGATATATTTATAGAGGAGTTTATGCTTTCTGAAGGATTTTTGCAGCAATTGCCTCATTTTGATCTTCACTGTAACTGCTGTAGGTACCATGGAGAGATAATATTACCATTCTCATAGCTAAGCCTCAGCTCAGATATATCACTGTTTTCCTGAAACTCCTGATTCTCTGGTCAAAAGGGATTATCCACTCTCCTCCTTGGGTTTTCTTTTAAATTTATATGCAGTAAAATGCACAGATTACAAGTATACAGTTCAATGACAAATACGTTAACCTGTGCAAGTTATACCATCATAGAGAACAATGAAATCTCCCAGAATGTTCTTTTTTTGCCTTTTTCCTATGAGTCCCCTGTTTATTTCCTTCAGAAATTGTTGTTCTGGGTAATTAGCATATCCATTACCTTAAGAATTTATCATAAACAAAGAAAGAAATCCTTGTTCTGATCCCTTTTACTATATTAGCTTTCTCTGTATTCAAGTTTTATATGGATGAAATTATACAGTATACCTACTTAAGTATTTGGCTTCTTTTGGTGATCATAATGTGTTTGAGATTCCTGAATGTTGTTAACTGTGTCAGAAGTTTGTTCCACTTTAGAGCTAAGTGTTATTTCTTGTATGAATATGGCACAATTTGGAATCTGTTCTCTTGTTGATGAACATTTGCATTGTTTCCAATGTGTTGGCTCCTATGAATGAATCTGATGTGAACATTTTTCTGCAAGTCTTTTTGTTAACATATGCTTTTATTTCACTTGAATAAATATCTAGGGGTGAAGTTTCTGGGTCATAGATGAATTTTTAACTGTACAAGAGACTGTTTTCCAAAGCAATCATACCATTGTAGATTTTCATGAGCATTTTATAAAGTCATCCAATTGCTTCAGATTCTCATGCTCGTTTTGTGGTGTTAGCCTTTGTAAGTACTCTGGTGGTTGAGCAGTGGTATAGCACAGTGATTTTAGTTGTCACCCCCCTCATGCCTGATGACTGTGAAGTCATATTTTGTGCTTACTACTACTGCATATCTTATTTAGTGAAATATCTGTTCAAGTCATTTGCTTATTTTATCGATTAGGTTGTTTGATCTTTGGTAGGAATTTTAAAAAATATATTCTGGATTGGAGTTCTTATTGGATGTGTGTATTGTGAATATTTTCTCCTAGGCTGTAGTTTTCTATTTTATTTTCTTTACAGTATCCTTGAATACTTAGTTGATTTTAATTTTATTGAAGCCTAATTTGGCATCTTTTTTTTATGGTGATTGCTAAATGAATCTTATATAAGAAATTTTTGTCTCCCTCCATATTGCAAGATTTTCTCCTATGTTTTCTTTTAGAAGTTTCCTAGTTTGTACTTTTGTAGTTAGGACTATGGCCTTTGACTCCTTCGCCTTAAAAGACATTTCTGCTGGGGCCATATCATTCAATAAACTGTCCAAACTGGGAAATCCTCTTGGGATGGACATAGTTAAATGAGTGTCTCACCTGATTATCTCTATTTTTTCAGTGTTTAATTTTTTTTACCAGTTTCTGCCCATTTTTGTTTTTTTTTTCCTAGCGTTCTTAAAAGGTTTTTTCTCATATGTTGTTCTGTGCTTCTTGAATTAGTATCTATTCTCCTAAGTTGGATTTGGTTGTTATACACTTATTTTTCTTAACATGTAAATTTGTTGAGAGCCAAGGGTATGTTTTATGAATCTTTATTCCATTGTCTAATCAAGAGCAATCCATTTTAAGTAGTAACTACTACTTAGCAAATGTTGAATTGCATTATTATTTTTATAAAGACTAACTTTGAGATAGGACTTCAAGTCTGCTACTCATAAGCCTATTTTTATTTTGAGTATACTACCCTGAATATGAGCCCAAGGGAGATTTTTTTTGAGATAAGTTTGGAGTACTGTATTCATTTTAGAATTTTTACTCTTTAAAGATTTTTATTTTAAAATATTTTTCATTTTTATGTTAATATTTTAATATTAATTTTAATTTATTGTAATGTTATCTATAAKACTGCTTAAAGTTGCTGCTTGAAATGATTAGATTTTTCAATCAAGGTTGATACAAAAAGATATTTGTTTTTTGTGTTAATTTTATACCTGAAGCAAACCTACTTTTCTATATTAATAAAGCAGAGATATTTCTTATATGTAATACTGGCAGTTTCTAAATTCTGTGTAATATGTGGTAGACAGTAGTATCTTTGAATAATTTTATTTTAAAAGAAGACCCTTTATTTTTTAATTTTTAAAAWTTGTTCTTTTTAGCTATCCATGACAATGGAATGTACTTTGACATATTATACATACATGGAGTATAACTTTCCATTCTTGTGGTTGTATGAGATGTGAAATTACACTGGTTGTGTATTCATATATGATTATAGAAAAGTAATGTCTGATTCATTCTACTGAAAAGAATACCCCTTATAACTATTTAAAATTATACTTCTCAAGATCAATCTAATATATAAAGAATTTGTCCCGTAATTTCAAAATTGTATTAAAAGAATTTTTGGAGAGGGGTCACACAATTTGCCTCTGTTGTCAAGTATTTTTGGAAAAGTGCCCATAGAGTCTTAATAAATTAACCCATTTTTAAGTGTAATTATTATAGTCAATAATATTATAGTAGTAATCACACATTGTTTTCATAACATAGGGTGTACTTGAATGCAAAGAGTTATTATAGTTTCTTTAAATGGCATTTTTAGTTTGTGTATAAATCTTGTATGTATTGCAGATCTCATTGATCATCATGCTATATTGATTTCATAGGTTAGGTTACTTGTACCATAATCAGCCATCTTTTTGAATTTGCCTCTTTGATTACTTGAAAGAAGTAAATTGTTGAATAAGGCTAAGTAACTTCCTTTGTTTCTTTCTTCCTTAGAATCAAGTTTCTTACTGGGAAATGCCCAGATTGTGGATTGGCCTGTAGTTTACAGTAATGACGGTTTTTGTAAACTCTCTGGGTATCATCGAGCTGACGTCATGCAGAAAAGCAGCACTTGCAGGTATGTCATGGAAAAAGTTAGGAATCTTTTCTAAAATTGAACACTCTTCTGAAAGTAAGTAAAAGCTTTCTCCTTATTTGGACTCACATATACAATCTATAGGGTAAAACTTATATTAGTAAACTAGGAAGACTGGATTGTCAATGGAAATATGTAGTTTAAAGAACCATTGTTAACTTTTGCAAAGAGAGAGATTTTTGCATATCTGTGAATTAATTCATTCATTCAACAAATACTTTTTGATCAGTTTCAATGAGCCGGGAGCTAGTAAAGATGCTGAGGGTTCAGAGGAGCATCCCATGTCAGAGAACCACTGAAGGATTCAGCACCTGTGGAGGGACTAACAGTGTTTTAAAGAAAATCAAGATCAGTGGAGTTGAGGGAAAGGAAGAGGGAAGGGACAAGGGCAGGGCAAGGGGAAGTGCTGGGGACTGAATTAGAGCAAATGACATTTCTTGCTTTTATAATTATGTAATAATGAATCCTAATGTTATATGTAACTAAAAACAACCAATAAAGTAAAAAGAAAAAAAAAATATAAACAAACCCCATTCAAGGAGAACACCACAGTCCATGAATGTTTAAAGGACATAAAAATGAAGTGCTTATATCCTGTGTCAATCACATGTGCTTTGTAATGTTGGCATGTTTTACTGTTGCTATTTTGTCTTATGTAAAACAGAATTCTGACATTTATATTACTTCTGGCAATTTAAAAAATATACATACGCCATTTCTGTAAGTTTAAAGAGAGTATTATGATAAAAGGAGACCAGGAAAAATAAAACTGCATATAAAAAGCAATTTAGAATCTAAAACTTTTTCACAACAATTCAGTAAGGCCAGATGGGGTGTTTTTTTCCCCTTGATTTAATTTTTCTTTTAAGCTCTCAATTAAGCTCTGAAATCAAACTATTTTAGAACTGTGAAGGATCTAAATTTTTTTTTAGTTTGATCCTGTTTTTCAGATGAGAAAACTGAGGTTGAGCTATGTTAAGCAAAACAGTGATTTATCTTTTATCTTCACATTTATACTGAGAAACTATATACATATATCTACATTTACATCTATAYGTTCATTCTGAATCTAAAATGAAGCCAGGGATTTCATATTATACTGGTGAATCTAAGCCTGACTAAACCTTAAAGAGCTTTTGCAAAACATAGATTCCCCTACCTCTTAAATCTATTGAATCAGACCCACCAAAAGCAGGTGGATAGGGTCAGTAGTTAGTTTATCTTGATGTTTATCCAGGTTTGAGAAGTAGTCTGATCAAGCCTCCTCTTCCTTCCTGTATCTTCCCCTAGCTGTCCTCCCTACTATAGTCATTCCTACATGCAGTCTTTACTTGCAGGTATGCAGTTGGTAAACAGGAGTGGTGAAAAGTGTGGCCTTTGGTGGAGAAACTCCTTTGGTGGCACTGATGTCTTTGTGACTTTTTATCCATAGGGCAGGCGTTGCCTTTTGTCATTAGGAGTGTGTCGTATGTTCTGGGAGATTGCAGGTCTGCGTCATGCATCACCCTTTCCTGTATCCCCTGSAGTTTTTAAGTTAGGGAAAGGTTAAATTTTGTGGTTGACCTTACCCTGTGCAATAGGCATGATAGAGAGCCCCAGGGAACATTGATGTTCCCACAACTGCTGACATCTCATTTTCATACCAAATCTGTCTCAGATGCCATCTTGTACCTGAAGGTATTTATGATTTCCCCCCAACAATAGGTGTCTCTCTTTTCTTTGATTCCTCCTAGTTCTTTGTGTGTATTTCTGTTGACATCACTCTTTAGTCCTTAACTTATCCCTTGGGTTTGAATTTTTATTGGTTTTGTTGTAATTTTGGGGCAAGGATTGCTGTTCATTTCTGGACATACCATGAAATCCTGCTCCCATTCCTTCTGTATCCCATGTATTTGCCCAATTCCCAAAGGGGTTCACTTTTGTAAGTGTAATTTTTCCTACAAAAGGATTCCTTAAAAAAGCTGGCATGTTATATTAACATATTTTCACCTCTAAAAGAGCTATTTAACCCTTCCTTTCGCCACTACCAGATTAAGTGCCTTGAAATCAGGAACTGGTCTTATTCACTTTGTATGCACTATAGAACACAGGACAGTGTATTGTGTCATTTTTGTTGCATTAGATTGGCTTGTTTTGCAATAAACCCCAACTCAGCTCTTCCGTGCTTCTGTAAAGCATGCTTCCATTTCCTCCATTTCATCCAGGACATCTGATCTGAGTGAGGGAGAGTGTTGGACTATACTGGATTTTTTTTCACTGTGAAAAAGAGTGTGCAAGCCTTCCCCTAAGTCTTCACCTATTAGAGTTGTATTTTCAAAATGATCATATTCTGAACATGAACTGTTTTTACTTGCTTGCACAAGATGCCAAGTGTGTTTTGCTAATCTGAAAATTGCAGCCAGTTTAAGGTCCACACAGAGCGATGAAGTCTAGCATCTGACAAATGAGCAAATGATATCTGAGCCCTGGCAGGTTTTCTTGGAAGCATGATTTATTTTAATGCGCTCCCATTTTAAACTTCCTCATCCCCCTTTTAAAATTAAACTACACCCATTTTATGTTTACTGCAGCATTATTTAGAAGAGTGAAGATCTAGAAATAATCAAAATGTCTAGTTGTGGGAGATTTGTTAAAACACATTATGGCAAAGTCCTACTTTCTAAACCATGTGTTGGAATGATAATAATGCTAGAAAAAGCTAAAAACATATTATAAAAAAAAGAGAGAGAAACTTCAAAACCAAAAAAACCCAGAAAACCACCTCCAAAATGTTTATAAAACTGTGTCTGCGTCACAGTTCTGAGGTTTTGTTTAACATACAGCTTTTCCACCCTTAAATGAATCTATAAAGCCCTTGAACATGAGACTTAAAAAAACAGAAAGGAAAGAAGAAAATTATATCCATATTTAGAGACACAGGGTTAATAATGACAAATTATAGTCTTTTGGAATCACTGAATTTCTACTGAATATGGAGATAAATCATTTGACAGAGAAAATAGCCTTGTGAATAATTTAGAGACCTTCACTGATTTTAATAATGACAAATTTTAGATGAACTCAAGATTATAAGAAGCTACCAATCAGGAAAACTTGGAATGGAACCACCATTTGACCCAGCTAYCCCTCTCCTCGGTCTATACCCAAAGGACTTAAAAACAACATACTACAGGGACACAGCCAAATCAGTATTTATAGCAGCACAATTCACAATAGCCAAACAGTGTACCAACCTAGATGCCCTTCAATAGATGAATGGATAAAAAAATGTGACATATATACACAATGGAATATTACTCAGGAATAAAAGAGAATAAAATCATGGCATATGCAGGTAAATGGATGGATTTGGAGAAGATAAATCTAAGTGAAGTTATCCAGTCCCCCAAAAACAAATACTGAAGGTTTTCTCTGATAAAAGGAGGCTGATTCACAGTGGGGTAGGGAGGGGGAGCATGGGAGGAATAGAGGAACTCTAGATAGGGCAGAGAGGTAGGAGGGGGCATGGGGTTAGCAATGATGGTGGAATGTGATGGACATCATTATCCAAAGTACATGTATGAAGACATGAATTAGTGTGAATATACTTTATATACAAACAGAGATATGAAAAATTGTGTTTAAAAATCTCAAACCTGTAAGATTATCAAGCTTTTGTCTAAAAAGAATTTATTATAGAGATGACTGAAATGATTAAAAAAAGAAAAGAACCTAGTGAGCTCCAGTTCATGTGGAAAAATGTGGCTGGTGACACTGTATATCTGAAAAAAAAATTTAAAAAGAATCATTTTTTAAAAATATTCAAATGTGAATTGTTTTATGGGGAAAGTTTTTAAAAATACCAATTTGTGTTTTTACAATGTCAAGAGGCTAAGATTTATTTCTTTTGTTTTCTTATCTTTTTCTTTGTTTTTTCCAATTTCTCCTCTACCAGACAGAATCAAATTGAACATACTTCTCAATTTGTTAGAATATTATCAATATGCTGTCTTCATTTCTTTTTCAAAAATTCCCCTTCCACAGCTGCTCATTTTAGTGTGTTTACTGGATGTCTTCCTAGTCCATCTTCCATTTACTTATTATGTGTGTTCTTGAAATGCTGCTGTTTTCCACGTGCTCATCTACATGACCCCCATTATCTCTGCTATGCAGAAATAYTTATGTTTTCTTTTTCCATTTAACGTTATGTTTTTTGAGATTTCTTTATGTTCCTGTATCACAACCTGTTTTATTATATATGAGTGTTGCCTGGAGCTCCGGTATCTTTATGGCCTTTCTTTGATTTATCCATCCTACTGCTCATGCGATCCAACTTCTGACTCTTTGCTACCCATGACAACATGGAGATAAACATCCTATATACATCTTTTTGCGGCTTATGAGAGAATTTTTTTTTCTTTTGTCTGCATGCCCAGAAATGGGATTGATGGATAGTAGACCAGAGGCAGAATTTTAGTCAGGTGCTGGGCTATTGCTCTCACCAGTATGAGTGAGCATTCTGATTTTCCCACATCTTCACTATGCTATTATAGTATCTAAGTTTCAATTAAAAAATCTGATGTATGCTAGCTACTGTCTCATTTTTGTTTTAGTTAAAATTAAAAAAAATTCTATGACTCATTGAATGCCTAGGATTTTCAAATCTGTTCCATTTTGTCATCTAACAATTGCATTTCTGAGCCTTGAACTGTTTTGCTGTTTATTGGAGAACACAAGAAGTATTGCAAGTTTAAAGGAGAGTATAGGTTTTGAGGGAATGCATTTCAAAGTATATGATCCTATCTGATGACCCTTAAGAAACTCTGACATGCAAGAAATATTGTGATAGGTTTGGTAGGTAAGATCCACATTAGCCTTTAACCTGTCAGTAACTTGACACTTAAAAAAACCCTTGCTGCCTTGTTTTTTGTTTTTGGATAGAAGGGTGAGAAGAGCAATCTTGTCTGTAGGAAGGGAGGATTAAAGAGTAGTTAGATGCTTTT